CTGGGGAGATGGAGATAACGCAGCTCCGCTGTTATCTCCAGCTGAGAGATGGAGGAGCCCGGCCAAGCCACGGGGCTTTCATGCCTTTCTCTTAATTCCCCCCTTCGTGCTAAATACACAAGCAGGAACCTTCAGAAGGAGAGTCAGAAGGTGTCCACCCAAAGAGATTAACTACATTGATCTGCCCTAATGAAGTCCACTCCTTCTGGGGAGTGATACAGGCCCAGGTTCCAGCACTGGAACCACATCCCTGACATCTTTGTTCCTTCTGTAGATAGACTAGAATCCTGGAATGGTTTGGGTTGGAAGGGAGCTTAAAGCTCATCCAGTTCTGACCCCTGCCATGGGCAGGGACACCTTCCACTAGAGCAGCTTGCTCCAAGCCCCATCCAACCTCCCAACCATGCTCCAAACCCAGCAGAGCCTATAAATAGATCACAGTGATCTGAGCATCCCCACCCCAGCACCCCCTTTACCCAGACCCCCCACCCCACTGCTGCGCCTTGCAGGGGCAGATCCCCCACAGCACAGAGGGAGAGGCAGGACAAATAAACAGAGCAGCACAATCCGGCCCCAGCCTTGGGATAAAAGCTCCTTTCCTTCTCTGGCAGGTGGGAGAAGCCGCTAAGGCTCTCAGGAGAGGGAAGTGCTCTCCTTATGGGGCTGCCTTTCATGTGTGCTGCTGATAGCGTCTTATTGTAACAACCCCTTGCTGTTCAAAAGCATCCAGATCCTGGTAAGCTGGGATTCGCACAGGCTGCTGCAGTAATGGAAGTTTAGATTGGATCTAAGAAGGAAATTCTTTCCTGTGAGGGTGGTGAGGCACTGGAATGGGTTGCCCAGGGATGTTGTGAATGCTCCATCCCTGGCAGTGTTCAAGGCCAGGTTGGACAGAGCCTTGGGTGCCATGGGTTAGTGTGAGGTGTCCCTGCCCATGGCAGGGGGGGTGGAACTTGATGATCTTAAGGTCCTTTCCAGCCCTGACTGTTCCAGGATTCTACGACCTGCTGCCTGCAGATGATGCTCTTCAATGTAACCGCATCTCCGGGGCTCTGTGGTCCATGTGCTCCAGAATACACCAGAAGACCCCTGGTGATGGTCACATCCTTGCCTGCTGCCATCTGCCTGCTCATGCTCTTCCTCCTCCCATCAGCAGCGCCTCTATGCTGTGTCTCTGCTGTCCCAAAGGGGCCATACGCCGCGATTGTGCCTCATGAGCTGTTTTAGCAACACAGAGCGAGGTGGAAACACCTCCTGCCCCTCCAGTGAGGCCCTGGTTTGTTAAAGCCACTTGGAGGAATGAACAGCACCAAAAGAACGAAAATAATTACCCCTAAAAGACGTGAAACTGTTCTCAGAAAGGTGGTTTTGTCGCATGGGTTCACAGGGGGTGTTTTGTTTCCTTCCTCTGCATAAAGGCTCCTGCAAAACTCCTGGGAGGATCTGCAGAGCATGGTATTCCTTGGGCAGAATTAGGAGAACATACTCCTAGGATGCCCCATCCCTGGCAGTGTTCAAGGCCAGGTTGGACACAGGGGCTTGGAGCAAGCTGCTCCAGTGGAAGGGGTCCCTGCCCGTGGCAGGGCTTGGAGCTGGAGGAGCTTTAAGGTCCCTTCCAACCCAAACCAGGCTGGGGTTCTGTGATTCTACTGTAGCCTAAAGGGAATTCTAATATACCTGTTGATAGAATTACACAGAATAAGGTTTAAAATCTGCATATGCAGGATGCACATGTTTGTGTGTGATGTTGTGTTATATATATAAATAAATAATGTATGTATTTTCTGCAAAGACAAGTACTGGGGCAGCCACAGCTTCTCTGGGCACCCTGTGCCAGCGCCTCAGCACCCTCTCAGGGAAGAGCTTCTGCCTAAGAGCTCAGCTCAGTCTCCCCTCGGGCAGGTTCAAGCCATTCCCCTTGGCCTGTCCCTCCATCCCTTGTCCCAAGCCCCTCTCCAGCTTTCCTGCAGCCCCTTCAGGCACTGGAGCTGCTCTCAGGTCTCCCCTTCAGGAGCCTTCTCTTCTCCAGGCTGCCCCAGCCCAGCTCTCTCAGCCTGGCTCCAGAGCAGAGCTGCTCCAGCCCTCGCAGCATCCCCATGGCCTCCTCTGGCCTCGCTCCAACAGCTCCACGTCCCTCCTGTTGGATCCATGACTCACACACAAACCCCGTTCCCCATCCCAGGACCCTGCCCACTGCTCCGGGCCCCACTGCTCGCCCCAGGAGCGCTGGTTCCATGCACGGCACCGGCCCGACGCGATGTCCTTGAGGATGTCCCCAGAGGAAGCCCAGTTCCTTCTATTCTTCTCTGCCTGCTGCTGGCGCAGGTGTCCCCCCCCCGGCCCCATTGTCCCTTGTCCCAGCCTTGGGGCTTTGCACAAACAGCGTGATGTCAAGCAGAGGGTGCACGTTTCCTTCCTTGGCCTTGGAGAAGCACGGTTTAAGCAGTGCCTTCAGCAAGCTGACAGCTTAATGCCTTTAATTTAGTTATATATACTTATATTTAAGTGCAGTTTTCCATTCAGCAGGCTTTCTGCTGGCCAGAAGATAATTTGGTTTCGATTATTATCCAAAACAGGGTGTTTATAGATGAATTCAGCCCTGGGGATTGAGAAACACACACTCCCCCCCCCCCCCCTTTTAACTTCGGAACCAGGACATGATTGGTTTTCAAATGGGAACCGAAAAAGCCTGGTCTATTTAAGGGAAACAATAGGGTCTTGGTGTGTTTTTAAGTCACTCTCTTGCAAAACCAGAGCTATAAATATTAGCATCAGCTTCGGAGATGAAGATCCCACCAAAGGGAAGGATTTCTGCCCGTGAAATTGCAGCCAGCAGTGAACAGCTCTGGTAGGAACACCCAGACATTGACTGGGGGAAAAGGAAACCCCAAGCCAAGACTAAAGGCACTGGGAGAAGCTGTCAGTTATATCCTTGCAAATCAAAGGCAAGGATCTGACACCGTGGTCTTCAAAGAGTGCTCTTCCCAGGGACAGGAGCCCTTTCAGCTGGTTTGCCCTCACACGCATCCCAGTGAAGGACATCACCAGTTAGCCAGCTGGAATGACCTCCGATACAACCCCTGGGATGAGCTTTGTCCATAGCCCCAGCTTGGAAGCATCCGGAGGAGCTGTAGTTGGGAATGACCGCTTTTTGTCCATGGAATTTGGCTGGGTAAAAAAGAAACCATCGAATCCTAGAATGGTTTGGGATGGAAAATGCTCATTTGGGTCCCTGAAATCACTGCTTGGTGAGTCCTCAGCTCGTCTGGGGCTGGGAAGAGAAAACACTGGCAGTGTTTTTGTAAGAGCACAGCCACGTACTGCCCGAGCAGAAAGGAAATGCTTTTGTGTTGAGCTCTCCTGCTCTGGGCAAGTCCAAGGAAAATCCACCCCCCCGTTCCTTTCAGGGGGAAATTTGGAATAAAACCAGCTCAAAATGGCACGAAAAAGGGTTTTTTTCCCTCCCAAGGCTGTATTCCAGTGTGGCTGCTGGCACAAAACACTCTGGTTCTGGAGTGCTGGTATTGATCCCTGCACCGTGTCACCCAAGTGATGCTTCCCTCTGTTTGTCAGTGAGGCTGCTGACGTCCAGTAGCTTGGGCTGCAGGGGAGGTTGGTGAAGGGAATCCAGCTCCTGTCCCCTGCTCCTTTGCATCCAAGCTCTTTGCAACCTCCAGATGTGCCAAGACCCAAACCCCAGGAGCAGTCCCTGCTGCTGGCCAGAGGACATAGAATCATGGAATGGTTTGGGATGGAAAGGACCTTAAGATCATCCAGTTCCGACCCCCCTGCCATGGGCAGGGACATCCCACGAACCAAGGCACTTGTAGGGAGATCTGGGGAAGAACAGAAATCCGTAGTCTTTAGTATTGGGATTTTGGGAAACGTTTATGTTCAGGGTGTAAAGGAGGGAAGGGAACAAGGGCACTCCTTGTTTCGGTTGCTTGGTTGGGGTGCTGTGGCTCACAACAGCAAATAGGCAGGTTACTGGAGTGAACACTGAATCGCTGGTGATGAAGGATGCCTGCTCAGCAGCACCAGGTAAGACAGACTCACAGGTCAAGGGCTTCACGCCTGAATTTGCTGCTGCAAGAGGGAGGCTCCAGGAGAAGGAACTGGGGATGCAGGAGGCCGGGCGGACCATCCGGAAGGGAACTGGGATTTGCTTCTCTTAAACTCAGCTTTTGGCTTACTTGACACCCCCTGCCCTGCACTGCCAGGTTCTGATTCCTGATTCAGCATTCCAATTCCTAGTCCCATTTCCAGAATGGGTTTGGATCCCAAAGCACTGGTGCAAGAAGCCATTTCAAGCCCTTTCAGGGGCTTTAGCCACATGAATATTTGTTTAAACATCACAGCACTGCTGCCCTTTCTCTGCAGGGCCACCAACACCCACCAGACACAGCTGATGCCCTGCACCACACTGGCTCGGGGGCAAGTGATCAGAGAGTTATTACCATAGAGCATCACAGCACCAGCCCTCAGCCGGTGATGCTGGGGCAGCGCTAACCCCAGCACAGAGGGTTTGCTCCGGACAGCATCGGGAGCTCGGCTCTGTCCTGGCAGCCTGGACCTTCCCACGACCTAACTCCTATTTCAGGGCTTGTCCATCTATTTAAAGCGCACGGAGAAGGGGAAAAATGCACTGGAAAAGGAGCCAAACATTCGGTTTCTGTTGCAGGCCGACAGCAAGGGATCCCACGGCTCTTTGTTTGTTTGGGCTTGATATGTTTTTATCCCCTTTTAGCAATACATGCTTGAAAACTATCAGGCCCTATTAAGGGTTAGAAAAACCATCTGCTGCGGGAGCCCTCGAAACCCAAACCAAAAAGGCACACGGCTGCTTTTAACTTCGGGATAGCCTTGCCAGCCCCTTCGCAGGCCAAGCCCGAGGATGGGAGCGAGGAGGGAAAGAGGAAGACAGCGAGGCGACCGCCACCAACAAGCAGCGAGCCGCACGGCGCTACAGGAAACCATAGCCTCCGGTGATAAATAGGAGACCCGGAAACACGGGATGCACGTCGGGCGAGCGCGGCAGGACGAGGGGATGTGAGCCGGCGGCTGTCGAGTGTCCCCCCCCCCGGGTCCGTGCAGTGGGATGGATGCCCCCCGGCTGCTGCCGCTGCCGCTGCTGCTGCCGCTGCTGCTGGCGCTGCCGGTGCCCGGCGAGGAGGAAGCGGCGGTGCTGTGCGCCGGCACCGCCTGCTACACCCTGCACCGAGCCACGCTGGACTGGGGCAGCGCCCAGGAGCGCTGCCGGCTCAACGGGGGCAACCTGGCCCCGGTGCGCAGCGCCGGCGAGGCCGCGCGGCTGCGGGAGCTGCTGGCGGCCGCGGGCTGGACGGGGCCGGCCTGGATCGGGCTCTCGCTGCTGCGGGGCCGCTGCGTGCAGCCGCAGGAGCCGCTGCGGGGCTTCGCGTGGGCGGCCGGCGGCGAGCGGGGCAACTTCTCCTTGTGGCTGTCGGAGCCCGCCGTGACCTGCCTGAGCTCCCGCTGCGTGAGCCTGCGGCCCGCGGGCTGGGCCGACGGCCCCTGCCGGGCCCCGCTGCCCGCCTTCCTCTGCAAGTTCAGCTTCCAGGGCATGTGCGGGCCGCTGCCGCTGGCCGCGCTGCACCGCGTCACCTACAGCACCCCGTTCGGCGTGCGCAGCGCCCGCCTGCCCGCCGCCCCCTTCGGCACCCTGGCCGAGGCGCGGTGCGACGGCAGCCCCCGCGCCGCCTTCGCCGTCTGCAGGGGGACGGTGGAAGGGGGCGGCTTCGCTTGGCACCCCCCCGGCCCGCTCTGCCCCACCGCCTGCGCGCACAGCAACGGCGGCTGCCAGCAGCGCTGCCTGGAGGAGCCGGGGCAGCCCCCGCGCTGTGCCTGCCTCCCCGGGCACGTCCTGGCGCCGGACATGGTGTCCTGTGTGCCCGAGGACGTCTGCAACCCCAGCCCCTGCCAGGGCACCTGCCGCGCCCGTCCCGGCGGCTTCGAGTGCGGCTGCGAAGAGGGGTACACCCTGGCGCCCGACGGACGGAGCTGCTTGGATGCGGACGAGTGCCAGGCCGGGCCCTGCCAGCACGACTGCTACAACACGGCCGGCAGCTTTGTCTGCCTCTGCCGGCCCGGCTACCAGCCAGAGGCGCCGGGTAGCCCCCTCTGCAGCGACGAGGATGAGTGTGCCCGGCCGGGCGTCTGCCCCCAGCTCTGCATCAACGTCCCCGGCTCCTTCCAGTGCGCCTGCCAGCCCGGCTACAAGCGCCAGCCCGGGAGCAGCGATGCCTGCGTGGATGTGGATGAGTGCCTGCAGGGTCCCTGCCCCGGGCTCTGCCGCAACCTGCCCGGCAGCTACGAGTGCCTCTGCCCCCCCGGCTTCCTCCTGGAGGAGGATGGACACGGCTGCCGCCCTGCACCCACCAACGCAGAGGAGCCCGTGGGGGTCTCCAGCAGCACCCCGAGGACCACGGGCATCTCACGGACCACGGGCATCACCCGGACCTCGGGCACCCCATGGACCACGAGCGTCCCCCACACCACGAGCATCCCTGCTGGGGCAACAACACCGTCCCCCACAGCAGTAGGGTCAGCTCCCGGCGCCGAGCACAGCGCCGATGGCCCCAGGCTGCTCCTCTACTACATCCTGGGCAGCCTGGTGGCCATCCTGCTGCTGCTGGCCTTCGCCCTGGTCCTGGTGGCTTGCAGGAGGAGGGAGGCCAGGAAGGAGAAGCGGCCGGCTAAGAGTGCGGCTGACAACTACTGCTGGGTGCCCGAGCAGCCGGAGAGCCATGGGGCAGGCGGTGAGCGCAGGTAACGGTGCCCGGGGCAGCAAAGGGGGAGGAAAAGCCTCCATGGGGCAGAGCTGGTTTGCAGATGGGAAAGAGAAGAAACAGGGATGGGGGGGGCGGGGGGTGGTGCTGTCTGTTCAACGTGGGGTTACGTGTCCAAGAGCCTGTCCTGGGGCTCCTTGTGAACCAGGAGCTGATCTCCCCCCCCTCAAAGGCAGTGCTGGTGGGAAGGCAGCTGGAATGTGTCCTGTAATGTGGTTTAGAAACCAGCCACTGCTCCTCCGACAGGGACAGTGCTGCGAGGTGAAAGGGAATGGGGTTGGATTCAGCGCTGCAGAACCTCACTCTGCTTAAACCCAGCAAGTTAAAAGGACTGATTTCACTTCCTAAAGGAAACCAGTTCATTTCGCTTGTCATTTGGTCTCCCCTCCCTGCGTTTGAAATGCTGACATGAGAAAGCAGCCCAGTCCCTGCCCTGTCCTTGCACCCCCCCCAGTCCTGTGCCATCCCAAAAGCACTGCCAGTGTCCCCCCTTGCCCGCCTGACCATGGACAGCCTGCATTCATCCGTGGGTTTGCGTTGTTCTCCATGGGACGGCTCTGAAATCCTCCTGTGTTTCCCCAGGACAAGCACCGGTGGCTGCAGCCACAAGCAGAGGGTGTTTGTCGTGCTTTGTTGTTAAAGATGTCCCACGAGAGGTGATGGAAATAAACCTGTTTAAAACCACAGCAGCAGCCAGCTTCTCACAGGGAGCAGGGCTGGTGGGTGTCAGCCATCCGCCCCTGCTGCTCCCAGCGGCATTGAGCTGGGTTTGGAGCAGCAGGACAGCGGTGCTTCCCAAGGGATGGAGCCCCTTTACCTGGATCCAGCCCCTAAGCTCGGGAAGTGCACAGCCCAGGGAAAGCTGTAGACAAGGAGAGACTGTATAGGCCTCTATAGGTGGGGGAAACAAGGTTTAGGAGCACCATGGACCTGTTTCCTGTGCGTTCAGTGTAAAAACACTTGGAAAATAGAGAAGACAACACTCGCCTTCACATACAGCCGGATGTGAGGGGGCTTTTCCTCTTGGATCGTACTTCTGGGGTAGAAGCCTTTCCTGACAGCTTGGGGTCCAGGCTGAGCGTGTTTTCCATCCCTCTCCCTCTAAAGGATGCACTGGATGTTGTGTATGTGCTGTTGCTGTATAGAAAGTGTCTAACCTGGCTTCAGAGCACAAGTGTTGTCGGGGTGAAGTTCCACAGCCTTGCCCTGGTACCTCACTTCAGAGAGCTCTTCACACTCAGTGATTCCAGACAAGGAAGCTTCATCGAGCTGCTCCAGCATGGACCCTTCCCCAAACCCCCAAAGGGCGCAGAGGCCGTTCCTGCTTCCCATCGAGCTTCAGTGTGTGCCCACACTCCACACGGGAAAAGGGTGCTAGGGAAGAACAGGGATGTCCTGGGGGGGGACGGGGACCAGAGTTTCCTGAAGTTTCTGCTGGGTTTATTGTCTCCTCGAGGCTTAATTGCTGCCGAGATGGGACCTGAGCACAAAGGAGTCTGCGGCAGGCAGGGACCTGCATCCTGTTCTTCCACGGGAAAAAAAACCCTTTCCTGCTGGGTTTTTTCCGTCTTCGTGTCTCCATTGTGGAATGACCCAAACAAGGCAGGAAAAGGAGGCTGATGGAGGGGGTTTGGTGCTCTGCCCTAATGTGCTTCCTTTTCTGCACACAGCGGCTGGGAGAAGCAGTGAACGCAGCAGTGGCGTCCTTGGATGCCCCACAGCAAATCCCTGCCTGTGTTCCGATAAGCCCGCAAAGCCTCTGGAATACATGAATGAATGAGACCAGGGAATAATCCTGCTGAAATCAGTGGGACAACCTACATCCATAAAATGCTGCCTGTGCTGCCGAGCTGTGCCAGCTCCAGGTCCCTGTGGGAAAAGGCAGGCACAGCCATGTTTGCTTTATGGAATTTTCCAGATGTTTGGAATCTCAGGAGTGTGTCTGCCTTATTTTTTAGTTAAGGTATCAATCAGTTGTTGTATTCCGCTATGGAAAAGGGAAAAGGAAGCACAGTTGTGGGCCCTGAGCTAAACGTTGTTATTTATTCCAGGAATTCCTCATTAAAGCCTATAATCCCAATTCCTGTTGCAACCTGTGTGTATTCCAAGGGTGTATACGTTACACAATGGAGGATGGGAGCAGGTCCAGATTAGGGAAGCCTGATTTGTGCCTTGGTTTAGCTTGGGGTCTCCCTGGTGGAAGATTTCCTGATGTAGCATCCTTCATCCTGGTGCAGTCACACCTGGATAATGTCATGACTCCTTTTCTTCCTGCCACAAACCCAGCAGGAATGTTTTGATCCGTTCCTCACTGGAGTTACCCAGGGCAGTGGGATGGATGGGTTGGTACCCTGCCTCACAGCCGGAGGAGACGGGACCTTCATCCCGCGGGACCGGCACAGCTACCTCTGCTCCTCATCCTTCCATTGAAGCAAGGGCAAAGCCAGAGCTACAGCTGTCCCACCGCCACCAGGGCAGGGCAGGGCAGGGCTGGTTCTCTGTACATGGCCAGTGCTTCGTGGTGACATTGTGTTTTTACAGTGCACGATTAAGACAGTGGCCTGTGCTGAGAGCAAGGTTTGCCGATGCCTTGATGACTCTTGGGTGTTGCTTTCCTGATGAGACACCAATAAACCCTGCCCGGAACACAGTGTTCTCTGTGGTGTTTAATAGGAGATCAACCCCTCTTGGTCTGGTACACGTGGGCCTTGTGTTTTCTACAGGGCTGGTGCTGCCAGACCCCAGCCGGTGCTCAGCCGTGCAGTGAGGTGGGTGAGTGGGGTCTCAGCCTTCTGTAGAAGCTGCTCTCCCGAGGGAGGGCCAGTCACATCATGGCCCCCAGGGCCATGGGGTGGGGGCACTGGGTGATCTCAGTTGGATCCTAAGACCATGAGCAAGGTCCTAAGCCCACAAGTGAGCTCCTAAATCCCCAAGCAAGGTCCTCAGCTCTTGTTCAAGGTCCTAACCCCCAAGCAAGGTCCTAAGCCCACAGGCAATGTCCCGAATCTACAAGCAAGGTCCTAAGCCCATGAACAAGGTCCTAAATCCCCAAGCAAGGTCCTAAGACCACAAGAAAGGTCCTAAACCCATGGCTGAGGTCCTAAATACATGAGTGAGGTTCTAATTCCACGAGCAATGTCCTAAACCCACGAGCAAGGTCCTAAACCCATGAGTGAGGTCCTAAGGACTCAAGCAAGGTCCTAAGGACTCAAGCAAGGTCCTAAGCCCACAAGCAAGGTCCTAAGCCCACAATCAAGGCTCTAAACCCAGAAGCAACCCCGGATTTTGCTGTAGCTCTGTATGAGCAGGGATCTGCATTTCTGGCTCCGGGCAGCACATGGCCACAGACATCACTCGGTGAATCCAAAGCTGCCTCCGTGATGTGCACCACAGGGGAAGGCCATCCTGAAAGTGAAAAGGTCACAAAGACAAGGGGAAACCTCAATGACTCATAAACCCCCCACATGTATCACCCGCGTCTGGGACAGCGTCCATGGGGTGCCCTGTCCGTCATTGCCACTGGCCTTCAGTAGGGTTGCAAAGCAGGAAAACCCTGCAGGACACCACGTCTCATGATGGGTGTTTGGTGCCTCCATGCATCGAAGTACAAAGAGCATTCCCAACGTTGTCCTGCCTGCCCTGGGAAGCTCCCAGAGGGATGAGGCCATGCCAGATGTACCGGGGGGGTCCCTGGCAAGCACAGGGAGCTGCCAAGGGTGGGATGATGGAAGCAGGAGGTACTCATTCACCCCCCATTTATCATTTTTCCCTGTTTCTGGGAAAGCTGATGCAAGGAAAGAGCTTCCACCAGAGGAATGTAGAGGAAAGGCACTGCCTAAGGCTGAAATGCAACCTACCAAATGCCACGCACAAAGAGGCGGCCCCTGCAACCCCAAATGCTTCAAGCATCTGCTCATTTCCTCCTTTCCTTGTTTTTATCCTTTTAAGTGTTTCTTGGCATTTGGTTCTCCCGAGCCCTTTCGAGGCTGATCCATGGAGCTGGAGTCTCACCAAGCAGATCTGAGCAGTGCCAGTGACAGCGTGACCGAGGGCAAGAGCCAGCTTGTGGCAAAGATCCTTCAGCTTTCCTATGGGAAAACCCAGCCTCTGGTGCCACGAGCAAGTGTAGGTCTTGGAGATGGTGCAAGGCTCAAAGACAGCTCCAGGAGAAGGATTAGAGTCCAAGGGTCCTAAATAGGCAAATGTTGAGCATCTTCCCTGCTGACCCCATCTGGCCTCTCCATGCCCTGTAGATGGAGCTGAACAGGAATTCAGTGATCAATGAACATCAGTGATTAAATCACCCATTAAGTCAGCTACACTGGCTTGGGGTGGGGGTACAGGGGTAGGAGAGGGTGCAAAGGCAGGCTGCCACATGAAGGTGATGGCAGGAGAAGTCACACATGTGCCAGATATTGCCAACACCCAGCCTTGGGAGGCTTTAATCCCTGTGGGAAACAGCACTGGCTGCTTTCCCTGGTTGCAGTCCAGGAGTGAACATAGGAACATGAGCCAAAGGCAAAGGCAAAGGTACCAGACATGCTGGCAGGACCTAGCTCAGACCCAATGAGCGTGCAGCAAATGAAGCATCCTCAGTGCAGTGACTGAGGTCCCTGCTGCCCCTTGCAGGTCCCAGCCTCACCTGGGTGCCCCATTGTGCCTTATTCCTGGACATACTGTCCAGCACTTCCTAACCTTGAGACGTTTGTCTCCTCGTGTCTGATCCAGAGGAGGCAAATTCACCTTTTCCACAAGGGATTCCACCCTGGATCTGCAGAAACATGGCTCATACGTGCTGGTGGACACCCCAAGACCCCAAGCACATCACCCAGATCAGCGAAGAGAGGGGACCCCGGTGCAGTTTTCATGACCCCAAGTGGGATCACACACTGAACACATATAGATGGGAAAGCACATGAAGCCTGTTTAATGGTCTGCTATTCATTTTGGTTTAATCTTGATGTAATGATTCCAGATTATATTGTTATATGCTGTTTAATTTAATTCAATACTATCCCATTTAATTCTCTTCCCTTCGTTTTATTCAGTTTAATTGTATTTCATGAATTATGATGTAAGAATATGTTCTTCCCTTCCCTGTTCATTCTAGACTATTTAATTCTATTCTATTCCATGGTATTAATGATACTATATTGTATTATATGGTATTACATGACATTATATTGCCTAATACTGCACTGCATTACGTGCAATCGTGTCCTGTCCCCAGCATTCAGACATCAGGAGCCTCCTTTCCAAACCCCAGCAGCACAAGCCGAGCCAGTCCATGACACATTCCCCATAAGCGGGGGTCAGAGCAGCTCTTGGGCACCGCTCTGCCCGGGGCACCGGGACCCGCTGAGTCAGGCGCTGGCCCAGGGTGGGCGGTGATGTCCTCAGCCACCCATCAGCTTTCCGAAGGGGAAAAGTCATGGGGAACTGCGCCGCGGCGGGGGTGAGTCAGCGGGGCAGGGAGCAGGGAGCGAGGGGGGCTTAAACCACGAGGAACCCCGCTCCTTCGTCCCTTCCCGTGGCCGCACCGACCCGGGAACCCCTTGTCAGCAGCAAGCGCCGTGAGCTCAGAGCGCGCTGCCATGGGGAGGCTGCGTTCCTGCCTGGCAGCTGAGGCGCAGTTCCCGGCAGGCAGCCTTGACGAGCGCGTTTTTATCCGGTTCTAGGATAATAAAAACAACAGAAATCTGTGGCGGGTGTTTGCTTTTTTCCTTTTCCACCCGTTACGTCCTGGCTTCTGCTGCTCCTTGCTTTGACCCCCCCCCCCCCCCTCGTGTTTTTGCTGGTTGGGTTCTGAAGCAGATGATGAAGAAGGAGGAGGACGAAAAAAAAGAAGGGAAAGGAAAAGAAAAAGACGAAAAAGGAAAACAAAAATTAAAAGAAGGAAATTTAAAGAAAAATGAAAAGAGGAAAGAAAAAGAGAACAAATTAAAAATAAAGTAAAATATAATAAAATAAATAAAAAGGAGAAAAATAAAGAGAAAAGGAAAAAGAAAAAGAGAAAAATAAAGAGAAAAGGGAAGAGGAAAAAGAAAAAAGGAAAAAAAAAGAAGATAAAGGAAAATAAAAATTAAAAGAAGGAAATTGAAAGAAAAATGAAAAGAGGAAAGAAAAAGAGAACAAATTAAAAATAAAATAAAATATAATAAAATAAAGAAAAAGGAGAAAAATAAAGAGAAAAGGAAAAAGAAAAAGAGAAAAATAAAGAGAAAAGGGAAGAGGAAAAAGAAAAAAGGAAAAAAAAAGAAGATAAAGGAAAATAAAAATTAAAAGAAGGAAATTGAAAGAAAAATGAAAATAAAAAGAGAACAAATTAAAAATAAAATAAAATAAATAAAATAAAAGAGAAAAGGAAAAAGAAAAAGAGAAAAATAAAGAGAAAAGGAAAAAATAAAAATAAAAAGAGAAAGAAAAAGGAAAAGAAAAAGACAAGAAAGAACGAGCAAAAGAATAGAGGATGAAGAAGGGGGAAAGGAGAAGGAAATGAAAAGGAAAATCAAAAGGGAAAAAGGCCACCCGAAGTGAAATCCGTGCGATAAAAACTGGGGACACAGCAGGTTTCACTGGAGCCGAGCGGGGTCGGCATTGCCGGGCCCTCCAGGAATTCCTTATTTACACCCTTGCTGGCCGGGAAGAGCAACCGAGCTCTTTTTGGGGTTGTTTGGTGCAGGCGGTGGCTGGGTCTGGCCAGGGGGACCTGTCCCTGCACCCACTTGTCCCTCCTCGCCGCGGTCAGACCTGCAGGACGCTGTGAGCCAGGGAGGACGCTGCTGTTGGGTTGAGATCAGGGGGTGAAAGGGGAGATCGGAGGCTGGCAATCGCTCCTCCTGCAGTCCGAGTGGAAAACAGCATTCCCGTGACATTCCCCTTCCTGGAGAGACGTGGAGGAAGGAGCAAAAGAGGCCAAAGAAAGCAGAGGAGTCTGATAGAGCGCATGAGCTCTGCTGCTCCTGCTTCCATCGGGATAGCTTTGGAGCTACCAAACAGCACAGCTGGTTTGGTGATTAATTATTAGCATTATTATTACTATTGCTATTCTTTTGCTGCTATCATATCACCATTACCATTACCATTACTATTACTATTAATTACAGGGCTTGGAGCAAGCTGCTCTACTGGAAGGTGTCCCTGCCCGTGGCTGGGGATAGGAACTGGATGAGCTTTAAGGTCCCTTCCGACCCAAACCAGGCTGTGATTCTTTATGATTATTATTTTATGGCTATTCTTGCCATTATTACTATTATTAGGGGTTATTAGTACTCTTTTCCCTTTCTTTCCTTTTCCTCACAGCCTTTCATGAGCTACCATGAACCGCCCAGGGCTGGAAGAGGACAAGTCAAAACCTAAGAGTTTAATAAAGGAACCTCCTTGCAGTGAGTGAAATAAGGAAACGGGAATCTGTGGCTCCCGAAGGCTAATTGCAGTGCCTGTGTTGGTGAAACACCACTCTCAGAGCTGGCAAAATAAGCAGGTCAAATGTCCTTTCCTGTAAGCTTTGGATGTTTGTGTTTCATCTGGAGTTTGCTTCTGGCTATGCTCTAACTGCAGAGCTGAACACATGGGAAAGGGTCCGGCTTGTTGAGCAAGAAGAGGAGCCAAACCCCAGGGGGTCAGGCCCCCATGATCAACCCGTAGCCCTGATCCGGGCTGCCTCGGAGGGGATTAGAGTGACTGATGTGGAATTGGGACATTGGAGCTTGCACAGAGGGGATGAGCTGCAGTGGCTGGAAGGGGGCAGCAGCCACTGTGCTGGCACTGGTGGATGTCCCATTTGGGGTGGCTTGTGGGGCTGCAGTTGGTGCTGCTCCGTCACTGCGGCCTGGCAGCTTCATCTCACAGAACCCCAGGCTGGTTTGTGTTGGAAGGGACCTTAAAGCTCATCCAGTTCCAACCCCCTGCCACAGGCAGGGACATCTACTAGAGCAGGTTGCTCCAAGCCCCATCCCAGCTTCAGAGCTTCAGGTTGGTGCTCACTGCAGTAAAGCCGATGCTGTACCTGTAAGCTAAAATGCTGAGCTGTAAATTGGGACTGCTCTGTTGAGAGCAAAATGGGCTGGTGTGGCCCTGGGGCATGAGTAAAACAAGGGCAGCCTGTGAAGATACAGGAATGAGCAAAACAGACAGGGCTGGGGCTGGTTCTTCGAGATGAGGAACAAATCAGAGCTAACCTAAACCACACACGCAATTGTTAAGTAATTCCCAAGAGACTTTTCACAGGCACAAGCACAGAGATCAAGCAGTGAAAGATGATGGAGGACAGAGACCGCTGGAGACCACCACTAGGCATGAAAAGTGCATGTGTCATTAAAATGCAAATATTACAGTGAGTTCTAGGAAATCTAATTAAAGCATTTCCCGGGAAGGCTGTACATATAGAATCATAGAATAGTTAGGGTTGGAAAGGACCTTAAGATCACCCAGTTCCAACCCCCCTGCCATGGGCAGGGACACCTCACACTAAACCATGGCACCCAAGGCTCTCTCCAACCTGGCCTTGAACACTGCCAGGGATGGAGCATTCACAACCTCCCTGGGCAACCCATTCCAGTGCCTCACCACCCTCACAGGAAAGAATTTCCTCCTTAGATCCAATCTAAACTTCCCCTGTTTCAGTTTGAACCCGTTACCCCTTGTCCTGTCACTACAGTCCCTAATGAAGAGTCCCTCCCCAGCATCCCTACAGGCCCCCTTCAGACACTGGAAGCTGCTCTGAGGTCTCCACTCAGCTTCTCTTCTCCAGGCTGAACAGCCCCAACTTTCTCAGCCTGTCTCCATACAGGAGGTGCTCCAGCCCCTCAGCATCCTTGTGGCCTCCTCTGGACTTGTTCCAACAGTTCCATGTCCTTTTTATGTTGAGGACACCAGAACTGCACACCATACCCCATATGCATAAGTCTGTTGGATACATGGATGCCTGTAGACTGCAGGCACGCTCCCCTTTGTGAAATGACTGGCGTGTGCGCCCAGCGCTGCAATAGGGAACGCTGCTTTCTAGAGCCCCACATCCAGCCTGAGAGTTGCTTCGACCGACTCAGGCGGTAACACACCGAGACCTGCTCCCTCCTAAGCAGGGCGAGGGACCCGCGGGGCGCCCTACAGCAGGTGCCCTCCCTCCAGCGCTGGTTTCGCTCTTGCTCAAGGCGATCGAGAGCTTTTCCCGGCCCCGCTCAGCCCGCATGGACGGGGCGGGGGGGACCCGGCAGCTCCCTCCCTTCGGGCGGGACCTCGGTGGGAGGAGCCGGCCCAAGGAGCCGGGGGGGGGGGGGGCACGGGACACCCCACACCCCCCACACCCCCCACACCCCCCCCGCTGGAGGGGGCCGGGATTCACGGGGCCGCCCCCACCGCAATCTCTCCGCTCCACGACGGCGGCGGCCGCGGCCCGTCCCCGGAGGCGCTTCCTTCCTGCGGCGGGCGGCGGGGAGGGCCGGGGCCGCTATAAATCGGGGCGGGCGGGCGGCGGCATGCCAGAGATTTGCCGTGCCGGCCGGCCCCTCCGCCGCCCGCCATGCGGCGGCTCCCGCTGCCGCTGCCGCTGCTGCTGGCCGGCTTGGGGCTGGGGCTGGGGGGGGACCCGGAGCCCGGAGGCCCCTCGGGAGCGCAGTGCCTGGAGCACGATTGCTTCGGGGTGTTCTGGTCGGCGCTGCCGTTCGCGGAGGCCGGCGCGGAGTGCCAGCGGGGCGGCGGGCACCTCATGACCGTCCGGTCCACCGTGGCGGAGGACGCGATCGCTTTGCTGCTGCAGAACCGGAGCGGGAATCTGTGGCTGGGGCTGCGCCTCGGGCTGCCCTGCACCGAACCGACCCAGCGCCTCCGCGGCTTCCAGTGGGTGACCGGCGACCGCAGCACCGATTACTCCAACTGGGCGCCGTCGGGGCGGCAGTGCGGGGAGTTCTGCGTGACCGTGTCCAAGGAGCTGCGCTGGGAGGAGCGGCCCTGCGAGGCTCCGGCCGACGGCTTCCTCTGCGAGTACAACTACTGGAGGAGCTGCCCGCGGCTGCCGCCCGCCGACGGGCTCCCCGTCGTGTACGCTACCCCGTTCGGGGCCAGCGGCGGCGACTTCCTGGCTCTGCCGCCCGGCAGCGCGGCCGTCATCGCGGCCTTGGGGCTGGAGCTGCACTGCGAGGAGGACGGGGAGAGCGGGAGGCTGCGCTGGGGCCGCCCGGAGCTGGGGCCCTGGTCCTGCCGCTTGGACAACGGGGGCTGCGACGGGGCGTGCGAGGAGGACAGCGGGCAGGCGCGGTGCTCCTGCCCCGAGGGCAAGGTGCTGAGCAGCAACGAGCGCGGGTGCCGCTCGCCCTGCGCCGGAGCCCCCTGCCAGCACCACTGCGTGGTGGCCGGCTCCAACTTCGTCTGCATGTGCGAGGCCGGGTACCGCTTGGCCGCCGACGGCAGCAGCTGCGAGGACGACGACGACTGCGCCATGGTGCCCAGCGTGTGCGAGCAGGTCTGTGTCAACACCGAGGGCGGCTTCGAGTGCCACTGCCACCGCGGGTACGCGATGGTGGACGGGCACTGCCAGGCGCTGCCCATGTCCCGCTGCTACAAAGCGCCCTGCGAGCAGCAGTGCGAGGAGGTGCCCGACGGGTACCGCTGCAGCTGCTTCCCCGGCTACGCCGTTGACCCCCGGGTGCCCACCCACTGCGTCCTGCACTGCAACCACAGCCAGTGCCCGGCCAAGTGCGACCCTTACACCCTGTCCTGTGAGTGCCCCGAGGGCTTCGTGCTGGACAACGCCGACGACAGGCAGGTCTGCATGGACATCGATGAGTGCGACATGAACTTCTGCCAGCACAACTGCACCAACTACCTCGGCGGCTTCGAGTGCCACTGCCCCGCCGGCTACCGGCTCGTGGACCAGATTGACTGCGTCGAGATCCTGGGGGAGGACGGGGATGGAGCCTACTCAGGGGATTTCGGGCCCGGACCCCAGCTGCCCGTCCCCACCCGGACCCCACTGAACGCAGTGCACCTTCACCCCGGTGCCCTGGTGGGTATCACTTTGGGTGTCCTCTCCGCAGTGCTGGCTCTGCTGGCCCTGGCCTACCATCTGGTGAGGAGGTGCTGCAGGGCCCCCGCCACCATGGATTACAAGTGCAATTGTCCCCACGAAAAGGAGATGGGACTGTACCCGGTCCCCTCGGGGTGTGCAGCAGCCAGCCAGAAGCTGTAGGGAGCCCTGGCAGGACAGGCAGAGGGAGGTGGACGGAACTGGGTAACATTCACTCTCCTCATCCCCTGCAGTCTTTGAGTGATAAAAAGAGTTTGGGAAAAGCTGTGATTTCCCCCCCCCCAATATTCACCCCAGAGAGCAGGGAGGGTGGAGGGGCCGGAGCGCTGCTCGGTTCCTCTCCCTTTGTGGGCAGTGTGGGTGTTCAGCTTTCCTTTCCCTTTTCCAGGAGCCGGGGGGGGGGGGTTCAAGGGGAACCCTCGTGTGTTACAGGAGGGACGTCTCCTTCTGGAGGTGACTTGTAAATCCGTATCTATCACGGGATGAGAGCCGCGCTGGCTGAGTTGCTGCTACCCAGGGAAGGTCACTTGGCCCCAAACCCCTCTCCCTTCACTGGGAAGCTGGGATGGAATGGATGGCATTCCCAGAGTGGCAAAGAGATGGGATGCCCCTGCCTGTGTGTTCAGGTTAGTGGGTTTAAACTGACGGGTGGTGGCAGAAGGAGCAAAACCCTTGTGCTCAGCACCTTGAAACACACCCAGCTCTCGCCTCCTGGCCCCCTCTTTTGCCTCTTGCCTCTGGCAGCTGAGCACTTTCCACCTTAAATCACTACCGACAGCAGGGGCCCTGCTGCTGTCACAGTCAGGGCTAAACCACTTGATTCTGCTTCCCTTTTACCATTTTGGGGCTGTTTTGGTTAAATGTGGACACTGAGACTGCCAGGGTCATGTTTTCCGTGGCAGGAACGGTCGTTCCCAGCCTCGTGTTCCCCATCCCGTTTCTTCCATGGTTTTCTGCCCTTGTTGCCTTAAAACGCTGTGGTTTTCTTTACAAACCCACTGCACCGACCCCTCCTGCCCACAGGGTTTTGTCCTTTGGGCTTGCCCAGGGTTAGGTCTAATCCATGTTGAAGCCTATGGCAAAACTTTCCGGGGCAGGGGGGTCCACGATCCACCCCGCTGCGCGCTTCCCACCCGAGGATCATCGGGAAAAGCATTTCGGGTGTTTTTTCCAGCCCCATCGTTCCATGGGGAGTCCCGGGGCAAAGCCTGAGTGGTGTTGGGAGCCGGAGCGGCTGCGGGGTGAGTGGTGGGAGCGGGTGCTGACAGCTTTATGCCCATGAGATACCACCCTGCAGCAGGGCTTGGCTTTCCCACAGGAAGCTTTGGAAGGCCGGGGTCAGCGCTTGCGAGGGCTGGATGCTGCAGAGGGGCTGAAGGGCTCGGGAGGGGGGTCCTGTCTCTCCCTATGTGCTAAACACAACAAGCAGCATTCCCCCCCTCCCTGTTCCCGTATGATAGAGCTCTTCTGCAGCCTCCAAGGGAAATAAAAGACACCCGTTGTATAAATCAAAGCTTTCCTAATGTAAATGGTCCAAGCCCCTGTTTTATACACCCGGCACGTTTGTAAATACTTATTTATTGGAAACATACCCTCTGCAATGCACAATCCCATGTGTAGACAAATAAAGCTGGTTTACAGAAAGCTGCTGCTGAGATATTCTTTCTCCCCTTCCCTAAAATGACTCTTTATTCCCCCCCCCCCTCCACCTCACCCCATCACTAAGCACTGGTCTGTCTTAACCTGTCACAAGCCTGGTTGGAGTTGGGAAGAAAGGAGCTGTGGGCTCTTAGCTGTAAACAAGCCCTGCCAGTTATTCCATCGCCGTGATTCAAACAGCAGGGATGAGCCATAAATAATGGAGAACGGGAATAACATTAACGGGAGATAGTTAAAACCAAACAAGCTGGAAATGGGGAATTTAATGGTGCCCAGGGCTGATGTTTCTCTGGGGGTGTGTTTCAGGTGCCACTGGAGGTGATGCTGAGAGGGTGGGATTTCCTTCTCCTGGCTTTTTCATGGGGAAAATTCACCCATTTGTGCTAAAATCCCTTTGCCTGGGAATTGGGGGGGGGGGGGGGGAGTGCAGATTGTTGGTGGGACCTAAGTTCTTCCCTTTCCCCGTTAGCTGAAGGGAGGTTTGATGCTCCCTAGTTCCTGCCAAGGCTGGTTTGCTCAGAACCCCCTTTTTCTACATAGAAGGAACCCAATGGGGTCACATCCATCCTGTGCTCCCAACAGTGATGGAGAAGCCCGGCCTGGTCCTACCCCTTCACTCGTCTATAGCCAGGGGGCTGGTGGGCTTCCCTCCATCCTTCAGAGCGTGTTTTGGGAAGGAGCAGAGAGTTGGGGGTGCGTTGTTCTGTATTATCATGGAGAGGCATTGCCCTGTGGCCGGTCACCGCTCACAACTGCATTTTGAGATCCCCGCCACGCGCCATCCCCATGGAGCCTCCTCCATGCCGAAGGTAACCGCAACGCTCACGCAGCTGATGCGACGAACCGCACCCCAGGCCAGTCTTATGGCTTTTATTTGGTTGCACCGCACAGCACGAGGGTCCACGGCAGTTTATCCCCTCTCCATCCCCGTTCCCCGTGCCCGGATGACACCCACAAGGCCTGGGGCCACCCTAGAAGGCGGTGGTCTTGGCGAGGAGCGGCGCGGGCTTGCAGCAGGGCTCGGGGAGCCCGGGGTCCTGCTGGCAGGACAGGGCTGGGCACACGCAGCCCTTGCCCTTGTCGTCCCCCCGGGGGGCAGCGCAGTAGTCGAGGGGCTCTTCCTCCTCCTCCTCCTCCTCGGTGGCCCCCTCGCCAGCGTGGCAGCAGCAGAGGCTGGCGTCGAGGCAGCGCCGCAGCACGCCGTGGAAGGAATGCCGGAAGTTCTCGGAGAGGAAGCCGTAAAGGATGGGGTTGGCGCAGCTATTGGAGTAGCTGAGGATGAGGGAGGCGTTGTTGACGGTGGCATCCAAGCGGCCGGGCAGCAGGAGGTTGACGAGCTGCACCACGTAGAAGGGCATCCAGCACACCACGAACATGGCCACCACCATCAGCACCAGGCGCGTCAGCTTGCCCTCGGAGCGCCGGCGCTGCTGCCAGCCCACCCGCTGCGCCACGGCGCGCATCTTGCCCACGATGAGCAGGTAGCACAGCCCCATGGCCAGCACCGGCAGCAGGAACCCCAGCAGGGTGGTGTAGACCACGAAAGCGGCCGACCAAGCCGGGCTCGGCCAGAGGAGGTTGCAGGCCACCGCTTGGCCATCGCGGGTGGTTGCGGTGCCGGCGAAGATGGGGATGGGCGAAGCCACCAGCAAGGAGAGGAGCCACACGCCGCCGTTGACCATCTTGGCCACCCGAGGACGGCGGTAGGTGGCCGCCCGCAGCGGGTGCACCACCGCGATGTAGCGGTCCAGGCTGAGGACGGTCAAGCAGAAGACGCTGGTGAACATGTTGAGCCCATCGACGCCCAGCACGGTGCGGCACAGGGCCCGGCCGAAGGGCCAGTGGTGCAGGGCAGCCGACGTGGCCACGAAGGGGATGCTGAGCATGAAGAGTTCGTCGGCGATGGCCAAGTTGAGCAGGTAGATGTTGGTGGCCGTCTTCATCTTGGCGTAGCGCAGGATGACGAAGATCACCAGGGAGTTGCCCAGCAGCCCCAGCAGGCACACCAGGGCGTAGATGCACTGGATCACCACCATGCCCACGATCTCACCCGCCTTGCTGCCCCACTCCGCCTGCCCCTGCTGCCAGCCGGCTTCCCCCATGGCCATGCTGGTGTTGGGGGGCACCTCGGAGGAGGCCCAGCTGGATACGGTCCACAGGGACACGCTGGATGCCTGGGACACTGCCGGGAGCTGCTCGGTGTCCGCACTCATGATGGGAGGTGGTCCATGGAAGGGACACTGCCGGGGATGGGGGGGGTCAACCTGCAGGCAGGGCATGGGCACAGGGAGATGGGGGTGAGAGCTGTGGCACACTGGATGCGAAGCACGCTCCCCTGCCTTCCCTCTTGGATCATAGAATCATGGAGTGGTTTGTGTTGAAGGGACCTTAAAGCTCTCCCAGCTCCAACCCCTGCCACAGGCAGGGACCCCTTCCACTGGAGCAGCTTGCTCCAAGCCCCTGTGTCCAACCTGGCCTTGAACACTGCCAGGGATGGGGTGGCCCCCACCAGTGCTGCCACCACCAACTCTCACTGCCACATGCATTGGGCAGCTCCGGCTGTGCCCCCCCCAGCTCCCTCCATCGCTGCCCATGCACCTGCAGGTCACTGCTCAGGGCAGCAGCATCCTTCTCCAGGCCGGAGCATCCCAGCTTTTGGGGGTCTTGTTGTGCATGGGGGGGGTGCCTTCACCATGCGTGGGGGCCTGCCAGTGACAACCCTGGCCTGGGAATCAGTGCCACCATCCCAATGAAGCCCTGCACATCTCAATGGTGTCATGAACCCCTGCGGGGGGAGCAAAGGGAAGGAGAAACCGAGCGGGGGGGGATACGTTACCTCTCAATCGTCCAGGGACCGAAGGAGCCTCCTGCTTTGCTCCGGGGAGGGGGGGGCAGGCGCTGGGATCTGCTCCGGTGGGATGCAGGGGCTGTTGGCAATGCAAAGTCCTGCTTGACCTGAATCAGATGACCAGAAGGATCCGGACCTTTTAAAGCGAAGGACAGACCGTGCGTGCCGGGTGGGAATAAAGCTCATCCCCACCACCCGTTCCAGGGAAATCAGCTTGTCCATCGGGAATGCGCCAGCAGAAAGCAGCCAGGATTCTGGTTCAGGCTCTCCCGGGGGGAACGAAGCGCCGGACGTCCCCTTGCTCTGCCTCTCCGAGGGGTGCGAGGTCCCGCTGCTCCCCCCCCGAGGGGACACGCCATCCCCCGGGGCCCCGGCGCTGCGGGCGCTGCGGCGGGCGGGATGCTGCAGCCCGGGCGCGGCGGTGATGGGCGGGAGGGAGGGATGGAGGGAAGGGTGCAGGGAGGGAGGGAGGGGGGGACGGGACGGGGCCTCCGCATCCCCCCGCACCCCAGGTCCCTCCGGGGTGTCCCCGCCCGGGCAAGGCAGGAGATGGAGGCAGGTTGCCCTGGAAACCGCCCCCCCCCCCTTCATCCGCGCTCGATCCCGCATCCCTCCCCCTGCCCCGACATTCCTCACTGCAGGGAGGGGGTGCAGGCAGGGACCCCCCCTTTCTGCAGGAGGGGAGCATCCCGCAGCACCCGGCATCCAAACCCGGGGACCAGAGGGTGAGGGGGGTGAGGACCAGCCCAAACCTGGCCCCAAAACCTGTTATGTGCTGAAACCCTCCCCCCACATCACAGAATCCCAGAGTGGTTTGGGTTGGAAAGGACCTTAAAATCATCCAGTTCCACCCCCCTGCTACGGGCAGGGATAAGTCTACACCAAATTTCTTGGTGCAATGAGTAAAAATGGGGCAGAGATTCCATCTTTCTATTTTTAACTATTGTTTTTTAAGCATCTGTTGTGTTTATTGGGTATTTTGTGTGGTTCTTCGGTAGTTTGGCTGTTTTTTTCCTATGAGAGAGATCAAGGACATCTTCATGCCAAGAAACCACCACCAGCAGCACAGCAACAGCCCCGGTCTGGGGCAGGCAGCTCCACATGCCATCACCTATGGGGCTGGGGATGTGTCGATGGCGCAGCCCCATCCTCATCCTCCCACTTCGAGCCATCAAGTGACTGTCTTTTCCTCAGTTTCCCACATCTCACGCTCCCAAGCCACGCTCCTGTGGGTCATGGAGATTTTGGGAAGTCAGGATGGAGCTGGGAGCAGGCTGGATGGGCTCATCTGTGTGTGGATGGGGTCCTGCAGGGCTGGGAATGGAGCTAAACGTGTATATTATATTACTGGGAACAGGCATGGGAAAGCAGGTGCATTTTTCCTCTTGGTGCTTAACTATACAACCATAGTTAATTGAGCAGCTGGTGAAGATGGTTTGGCTACGACATCCCAGCTTAAATATCATGGATGCAGAGAAGCACAGAGGGAGCTGGTACCCGGAGCTGCAGGGACCATGGGGCTGGGTACAGAGACCCCATCTCCCCACGCTGCTCCCCCTCCACCTCCACGAGGTGTTTGAATAGGGAGCAAATGGCACAGAATTCCCTGTGTCAGCGGGTGCTGGGATGGGCACGGAGGCCACCAGGCTCCAGGGGTTCCTGTTGCAGCCGGCGACTGGAAAATGGGGAATAACACAATGAGGCTGCGTGGAGATTACATCGGGCCGAGGAACAGGAAATGGTTAAATGCTCCTTTACTGTAAGGGAGGAAACTCCTCGCAGCGAGCAGGACTTGTGCCCACATTGTGCTGCTGGTTGTGAGTGCTCTGGGTGGGGAGAGGGGAGTGAGAGCAGCATGTGGCTGCACCGCAATGTCTCATGGTGCCTGGTGCCACAAAAGCCTCCTTATGGGTGGCTGTGGGTGCAATGACATGGGGCAATCTGTTCCTGCCCTGGGAATCGTAGGATCACAGCCTGGTTTGGGTTGGAAGGGACCTTAAAACTCATCCAGTTCCAACCCTATGCCATGGGCAGGGACCCCTTCCACTAGAGCAGCTTGCTCCAAGCCCCTGTGTCCATCCTGGCCTTGAAGCGCTCCTCCAGCAGCTCAGGAGCAGCTCTCCTCTTTGGGGTGATTTCCCAAGGGATCCTGCACCATGTGCTTGGGAAAGATGAGTTTCTCTACACCAAAGAGCCCCCCCATTGCCAGCACTAATGGCTTTAAACCCTCTCCTGGTGCTGTGCTCCATGCTGAGCTCACCAGCCTTTCCCTCCCTCCCTCCTTCCTTCCACCCAAACCTCGCGGAGCAGAGATCTGAGATGAGAGCTTCTCCACCAAGTTATTTTAGTGGAGTCGCCCAAGCAGGCAGCCCAACCTGCTTTCCCTCAAGTGCAGCTCTCCAGATGGTCCATGTTAAAATAAACCCCAAGTCATTCCCTCCCCGAGACAGCATCAAGTGCTGCTTAAATAGAACCACGGAATCATGGACTGGTTTGGGTGCAAGGGACCTTGAAGCTCCTCCAGCTCCAACCCCTGCTCCCAAGGGCAGGGACACCTTCCACTAGAGCAGCTTGCTCCAAGCCCCATCCAACCTGGCCTTGAGCTCTGCAGGGATGGGGCAGCCACAGCTTCCCTGGGTAAGATCTCGTCTCAAACTGAAGTTTCTTTTCTGCCTGCAACATAAAAATCCACCTTGAAACACAGCCAAAAGTGTTAAAATAGGCCATCAAAAATGTCTTGTTCTCTGATCAGAATGAAACACTAATGAAATGCGGTGCTGGGCAGAGCAGGCGGTGGGGGTTATTTTTTCCCCTTTCAGGCTATTTTTGTGTTGAAATCTTTTCCTTAAAAAAGAAATGTGGTTTAGAAATGGAACTGCTGATATATTCCAACTTGAAAATGTCTGAAAAAGAGGCTTTAAAACGGCTCCAAGCTCTTATCCCAGGATGGAAATGGTGTTCCCAGCCACTGCCAGGCTCTGGGGCACAGCTGGCAAAGCTCACACCAGGGACTGTGCTTTGGAAGAGCTGTAGATGGATGTATCCAGTGGGAACATATACACGGGCTATAACACGGGGCTGTGTCGAATTAGCCCCATTTCCATACCTCGGTGGTGGTGCGAACGCTCGGCGCGATGAGGAACGTTCCGTTCCCTGCAGTGGCTCATGTTAACTCATTGCCACCGATTTACATCTGGTTCCTCATCTGATTAGAAACCAGGGCACACTGAGGGCTTTGTGGGGCTGAATCCAGCCCGGGGAGTGCATCAGGGCTGGGGGTCACTTCACCATCACCATTGATTCACAGCATCAGCTGGGTTGGAAAAGACCTTTACGATCATCAAGTCCAACCATTACCCCAAGGCCACCGCTAACCCATGTCACAGTGGTGCCATCACCTTGTCAGCATCCAGGAGCTGCTTTCCCAGCTAAAACCAGGCTAATCCCTGCAGTGAGACCTGGATTAATACAAACACGAGGCAGCCAAATGTGCGTTTTCTCCACTCTCAGCTTTCAAGCTTGAATATTAAACGTGAGCATCTTTGCTTTGCAGCATTTATATACGTTTCCTTCTGGCTGGGTTATGTTATGCACGAGCCAAAAAGACTTTGTATTCTGATGGAACATTGTACAGGTAGGAAGGAGGAGAAGGAAATCATCAAATCCCAAACTGTTGTGGATTGGAAGGGACCTTAAAGATCACAGAATCCCAGCCTGGGTTGGGTTGGAAGGGACCTTAAAGCTCATCCAGCTCCAAACCCCTGCCACGGGCAGGGAAATGAGACTCAAACACTTGACCCTGCTGCTCCAAGTTTAATCTTGGTGGTACAGCATTAATGGTTCCATCAGTTCATTCACGAAGAGCCCTCCCAAAGGGCTGCTCAACAGGAGAGCCAGTGTCATCCCCAAGGGTGGCAGTTGCCTCTGAGCAATAATAGCATCGTGGCCAGTGGCAGAGAAAAAGCAAAAGGAAGAGAAAACCAGTCCTAAATGCCTAATAAATTTCAATGAAATGTAAATAAAAAAAAAATAATCAGTTGATCTTACAGTTTTAATGAAAAAGAAACCACGAAAGGGGATAATGTGGTTCCCACTGGGGCGGAACAGCCACCCACAGAAGGAAAAGAGGTGTAAAATGCTTCCAGTCATATTATAGAGTGGTTGGGTGTTGGTGCCTCCACTTCTGTGGGGGAGCAGACATCATGTTGAGCATCCCACCCTTCCCCCCGGCAAATGTGTCTTCTTCAGTTACTAATTCCCAAAAGAGTGGATGGAAAATGAGTTGAAACCAATGAAATTCAAAACCAATGGGCTTCTGATGGCAAGAAAAGCTCCTTCTGAAAACCTCTGTTTCTTGCAGAGGCGATGTGAGGTGCTTCAAGGCCGTGCTGTGAGAACCAGCAGCATCAGAGAACCCCAAGTTTGTTCCCTGAAAAGCCAAGTTTTACAGCCCGTGCAGTTGGGGCATCCCCCTCTGCCCTTTGAAGCGAGGGGAGAGGCTTCACCCCCCAGGCA